GTTACCTAATATGATAATGAAGGCGGTGATGACAATGGCGATATGGCTGTGACTACCATTCCTTTGAATATGTTTCTGTACGTTCAACGATTGTGAGTAACTAACAAGGTGATATTTCTACCTTTTTTTAGCCAATCCACCAAGAAATCTTGGAAAAAGAACCAGTTTACGAAGCTCTGCTGGAATCAGGAGAGAACCTCAAAAACGCTAGCGAAGTTCAAGAAGAKAAAGACAACTTGAGCGAAAAACTCGATAATCTCAACCAAAGATGGACCGAACTCAAGTCCAAGTCAGCCGAACGGGACGCAGCTCTTGACGAAGCTGTTGCAGCTACGGCTGAGTACCAGGATCTCCGCGATAAGTTCTTGCCGTGGTTAGATGAGACAGAGAAAGCCTGTGGCGAGGTCCAGCCATCGTGTGACCCTGAAGAACTGAAGGCTCAAGAAGAGAAAATTAAGGTTGGTTGTTGTTGTTGTTGTTGTTGTTGTTGTCGTAGTTTCAAATACCAGCGAAACATTTGGCATCCCACATCAAAACAATTCCAAACCACTGGTGCTTCTCTCTTTGTATGTGTATATTTTTTATTTTTCCTGTCTCTATAACTTGGTTGTCATCTCAATATCCTTCATTAGTAAARCATCACCTTAAAGACTGAAAACCATCGTGCATTGGTCCCTTGCTTTGATAGTCTGGGCTGTTTAATGTGCGCCTGTCTCTAATACGGACTAATTTGATTTGCTCAATCGCATTGCTTTGTTAGGAACTTCAAGCCAACGTGAACGAACATGAACCTGACCATAACGCCCTCGATGACTCCGCCAAAAAAGTTATCGTAATCTGTGTCGAAGAAGTGASCGTCATCGAAGACGAAATCCTGGTCATCGATACAAGATGGAACGATCTGAACAAAAACCTCAAAGACAAAGCAGACCAACTGGAAAACCTTCAAAATCAACTCCAGAAATACCAAGGGACACTGAAGCCCGTTGAGGAGAAGCTGGGTGAGCTGGAAAGCAAAGCTGAAGTAGAAATGGTTCCAATAGCGRACTTGGACAAGGCAAAGGAGCAGGAACAAGAACTAAAGGACATGTTAGAAGACTTTGAGAAGATGAGTCCAGATCTCGCTGATGCTATCGAGACAGGTCAGGATATCTTGGACAATAATCCAGAAGTAGACACTGCTCCAGTACAACGTGAAAACGAAGGATTGAAAGAGAGGTCTGATGATCTGAAGAACGCGCTTAACGATAAGTTAGAGAAAGCAACTGCGCTGGTGGCTGATTTGGAGAATTATTCTGCCAAGGAGAAGGAGCTAGAGGAAGGAATAGAGAAGGTTAATGAAGAGTTGGAGCAGAACAAACCAAACAAGTTGGACTTGGATACCGTYAAACAACAGCTTGAGAATACCAAGGTAACCCTTGTGAAAATGGAAACTTTAAGTTAGTTATTGTCCTGTCGTATCTGTGGATAATCTTACGCAAAGCACGACGGGACAATGAGTACTCGTGCCATTTCGCCCTCTAGTMARAAATACGCAAMGWTTTGTTCTTGACAGTATCTTACTGCAGAGTGTAATGAAGTAGGACTCSAGTGWYGRGTCTTGTGGGCTTTAATACACATCTATTGGGCACACTGTGGTTGGTTAATTTCGTACCACACCATTGATTGGTCAACTGATTGTGATGTACTTTCTTCTTCACCAGGCTCTCAAGGATCGTCTCGATGAAATGCAACCTCTATATGATGACGTAAACAAATGCGCCCAAGACCTGATCAGCGAAGGGCTTGGATCCGATCCAGCTTTTGTCAARCAGATGACCAATGATGACAAAGCATGGCACGACGTCAATGACGCCGCAGCCAATCAAATCAAAGATCTAGAGGCCACTCTGGATCAGCTAGAAAAGATACAAGATTCACTTAAAGRCGCAGACGAAGCGATTGGTGCATTTGAAGAGAAGGTTAAGAACCAACCTCCGATAGCAACAGACGTAGAGGCAATTGAAAAACAGATGGAAGAACTTAAGGTTTGTGTTAGTATTTTAATGATTTTATATTAGATACATCCGCGGAATCAAAACTAAGGTGGGTTATGGTGGATGACATCAGTAAAGGCATTTCCGTGGTTTTGTTCCTCAGCTGCCTCATCTTGAAAGCTTTGTGTTTTCCGACAGTCTCATGAAAAGGTTGAAATCCGTCAAAACCAACCTATTGTGGCGATGAAGATCTCTCGCATTAGTTTATTGAAAACTGACAATCTTTTGTTCGCATTCTTTTGCACGATCAGATTTTGAATTTTAGTCGGGAGAGAGGAGGGGAAAATACTACGAATCATGGGGTACCGTCTACGAATCTCAGTAACTTTTGTACATAATTTCATTTATTTTTTTCCCCTTCACGTTGTTTTTGATGTGGTGACGTTGATKATTTACAGGAGCTTCAGAAAGAAGTTGAAGACCTTAGCGAGAAGATCACAGACTTGAATGATCAAAAATACCGACTCGCCATCACCAACCCTACGGCAGACACAAGCGCTATTGACGCTGCCATCGCAGACCTCAACGAACGACTCCTGGGTGCAAACCAAGGTCTCTCTGAACGACAGACCGGCCTCGAACAGGCCTTGCTGCAGTTTGGAAAGTTCCATGATGCAATGGAATCGTTGTTGCAATGGATTGAAGAAACGAGAGATCTCTTGGAGAGCCAAGGAAGTGTGTCAGCCGCTGAACCTAAAGTAGTGAAGGCGCAAATGAATGAACAAAAGGTAAGCCATTCATTCAAAACCCAGTCTATGAATGTGAAAAGACACGGCACGGTCAAAGTACAGAATGTACGACATCCTTGGAACCAATCACAGTGCGAGAGGTTACAGTTCATCCAATCAAAAATGCTCGGACACGGTACCGTCACGGTCATGGAACTTCACATTGACCACGGGTCTTTTCACTCATGCGAAATTTTCTCCAACAATACTGTCAGACTATTAATAGAATTTCTCTAATTCTCATAATTGTCTATTTATTCCCTAGCTTTACGTTAAGATGATAGCAGATCGCAAATCTGCAGTGGAATCCTTACAAGAAACAGGACGAGAGATCCTTAAGACAGCAGAYGAGGACAAGAAGGCAGCGCTAGAAGTTGGTCTAGCTGACCTTAATTCAAAGTGGGTCGACTTAARCGAACTTGTAGAAGCCAGGCAGAAACAGCTGGATGAGGCTCTGGAGGCATCGCAGAAGTTTGACGATCTCTACAAAGAAGCCAGCAAGAAGCTCTCTGAAGCGGATAATCAACTCAAAGATGATGAGTTCGACRCTGCTAAAGCTTCTCCAGAGGAGGTTAAAGAACAGCTTGAAAAATTAGAGGTTAGTTTGGCTTGAAAGTCCACTGTCTGACAAAGTGCATCCCGAACTACCGCGAATGAATGAATAGCTATTTAAACTCGGATTGAGAATGGAAAATGAACTGATTGCACGTTTTATTTTATTTGACTGTCGAAATTATACAACTTTTTCTYCTTTTTCAATTCATTTATTTTATCTCTTTATCTCTCTCGTTTCTATTTTTTCATGATTCAGGAGATATGCAAAGTCATCGATTCCCTAGAACCCCTAATCAAAGACACTCTCAAAGCCGGAGACGATCTTCTTCCACACTGTGATGACGAYGATAAAGATCTCGTCAAGATGAAAATGGATAACCTAAAGAACAAATACAAAGATCTTCTGCGCAGCTCTGACGAAAAGCGCGCCAAAGTAAAGGAAGCCAAACAGCTTTCTGAKAAGTTTTTCGGCGAGAAGGATGACCTAATGACCTGGTTTGACGAGATGGAAAAGAAGTTGTCTGATGCCAAAGCAGAAGGACAAGAAGCAGAGGACGAGCAGGCGAAACTTAAGGTATAGAGATGTTATTCCTGTTTCTGATTTCGATTGCGATTAATGTTGTAAAATGATATCTTCTGAGATGATAACGCAACGATGCCAGCTATGAATAAAAAATAAAATAAAAACATTTGGGGGGGGGGGGGTACCGAAAGTCATTTTTATCTTAGTACGGATGATTTGTACACGTGCAAGCTCGTTCTGATTTTCTTTGGCAAAGATACAACCCCCCCCCCTCCCCTTCCCCCGTGTGCTCCCCCTCACTACCCCTTCCCTCCTTTCTCTCTTACAACTCGGTGAAAAACGAAAAGCAGCAAGRCTAAACTATAAGGGTTTTTTCGTATTGAAGGAATTACAGCAGGCTATTGCAGACAAAGAAGCCACAATCAAAGCTAACAAGCAAACCGGTGACAGTCTGAAGAAACTTGTATCAGAAGACGAAGCACCAAAAGTGGAAACAGTTTCCGATGAAGTCAACGAAAAATGGAGATCTCTGTGCTCCGACGTGGAGGATCTGGCCAAATCTATGTTCTCTACCAAAGAACGAGTCGACGCATTCCAAGCTGGTCTAGAGGACATTGAAAAATGGTTGAAGGAGACTGAAGAAACGATAACAGCACTTGATCCTGTCGCTGTTGAACCTGAGAAAGTGAAAGAACAACTAGCCAAGCAAACGGTAAATTACTGCGGATAAACTTTTAAACGCAATTCGACCATAGCATTTTGGCGCAGCATTGTATTTGGTTGTTCAGATCACGCATTGCTTCCTTTAGTATTATTACTTTATTAATACCGTTTGAACACGCTTGCCCGACGATAAAAACCTAACAAACAAACTGATATTGAAGAATTTTGAGATGCAAATTGTTGCAAATTGAATAGATGTATCATCATCACCATCATCATCAACWTTATCATTATTATCATTATTATTTCTAGGGTTGTTACACTTAAAGCTCAATAAATTTCTTTGTTACCTTTCAGCCTCTTAACACAGACGTCGCTTCCCACCAGAATCCCGTGAAGTCAGTATGTGAAACTGGTGAGCAGCTTCTGATCGCGCTCAAAGACGACGAACAGGCCGCTCTTAAAGAAAAACTCGACGACATTAAACAGCGATACAAAACTGTCAGCAGCGATACGTCAACAAGACAGGCGCATCTTGTAGAAGCTCTCCTTCTGTCTCAACAATTCCGGGACATTTATAAGGAGTGTGTCACGTGGCTGGATCGATGTGAGGAGAGTTTGAAGGTGTTGGACGAAGAGGGACATTCCTCGGAGCTGCAGCAAGAAAGAATTAAGGTAATGAGTCCCAGATTTTGCTACGAAGACAGGTAACGAGTCCCAGATTTTACTACGAAGACAGTCGAAGTCCTCAATCCAAAATTAGCTGAATTCAGTAAATTATCCCATCCCAGTATAATTGGCGTACATCCCTTGCCGTTACAGTCGGGGGTAAAAGGGAAAAATGGAAAAATGGAATTGTTGCGATGTTGGCTTAGTATGACAAAAAAAAACACAAATTCTTTGGTTAAAGTCAAGCAACATGGCGGCTATGACGTCACATGCAATGCAAGAATCGAACTCATGGCCAAATTAATCTCCTTTCAGGACAGAGTAGGAATGAGGCGAGGCGGGAAAACATACGCGTGTGTTCATTTTATTTTGWTTTCATTTGTTTTGCGTTTCGTAAATCTAAGCTTTGCGTTACAAATATAGAATTGTTTTCGTACTTCAAATCGCCACTTCTCTTAAATATGACACAACAAGGTTTACATGAGATTAAGTAGGATAGAAGTAAAGCCAAGAAAATCCAAACCAGCACAYAAAAATAAATCCGCATTTCAGTCAGAAGAAGCACTAATGCATAACAAGATATCAATATAACGGGAGCACAATACGATGTCAAAGATATGGCAATGACTGTTCTAYTATATCTAATTAATCCTGCCTTATGGGTAACGTCTTTTCTCTCTTTCATATCATATTTATATATATATGTATTTCGAGTAGGCGCTACAAAAAGAGGCTTTCCTGATTTTTGTATAATTTTTGTAGAAGGTTTCGTAAGTTTGGCAGTCAGTGGTGGCTTCTTAAAATTGTCTTGAATGTAAGGCATGGAAATACAAAAGAAAAGTCTCAAATTCCATCGAGAAAAAGTGTGATTTCTTTTGCATTTTTATGCTAGCCTCGCATTCAAAACATTTGTGAAAAAGTTCCATTTTGATCAGGTTATTTTTCCTATCTACGGTAGTCCTACAAGTCGTTAATCGCTTTTGTATCATTTCCTCTCTTGCAGACCATCCAAGAAGGCATCTCTGCCTTAAGAAGCCTGATCAACCACATCGAAGATACAGGCAGTGACCTGACACAGCTTAGTGGACCAGGCGAAGGATCTTCCTTCATTGAACACAAGGTCACAGAGTGTCGTGAGAGATATGACAGACTCTACCAGCTGACAGAAGAGAGGGGTATCAAGATAGGTATCACCATGCAGCAGGAAGAACAGATTGAACAAAAACTAGAGGAACTGATGTCTTCCTTGGAGAAGAGGAAAGAGGACTTCAGTARTATCGAACCTGTTGGGGTTCAACCTGAAACTATCAAGGAACAGATGGAAATGATGAAGGTAACTTATCAGGGACAATACTGAGATTCTTATTGATCTTATTATGCATTTCGATAACTTAGTAATCAGACAAATTTCTTGTGGGATTTTTTTGGGGTGTTTTTATTATTGATCCGTCTACCTGTTRTCCAAAACCAAAAGGAATTTTGAAACTAAAATATCATAAATATGCATAAATATTTCTTTATTTTCCCCTTTTTTATTTCTTCTCTTTCCACTTCTTTTGTTACTCTTTCTTTTTGGCTCTTTTTTTAACCTATTTCGTTGCTCTCCTTGCTGTTTTGATTCCTTTTTTTCTTTTTAGTTTGCTTTTATCGTTTTTACATTGTGCATTAATTCCAAAATGATTCCCGACGAATTCAATTCAGTGAATATTGAGTTTCTTTTTTTTTGTTCAAGGCGTTACAGACGGAGTTCCAGCCAGAAAAAGCCTCCGTTGATGAAACAAAAACAGCTGTTGAAGCTATCGTGGCCCTGAGTCCCGACTCTAAGACATCCCAACTCGTCAAAGACAAACTAAACAAAGTAACAACATTGGCTGGTGAGATACAAGATCTGTACGATGAACGAGATAAGGCATTGGAGAACTCACTTGTAGCCAGCGAGAAGTTCTGGCCAGGTCTTGAGGAACTGAAACACATCTTGAAGGACATTCAAGAGAGTTTGGACAATGAAGACCTTCCTGCTGCAGAACTGGAGGCGCTGGCAGAGCAGAAGACTGAGCACGAGGTAAATTTCTGTCCTTCTGTCTGTCCTTCTGTCACGGKTTTTTCAGTTTGCTTGTTTGCTGTCTGCCTGTTGTCAGCGTGTCTGTTGCCTCGAATTCCTGTCTGATTGCCGCTTGTCTACGTGCATCTGCCTCGCTCGCCGACTTATTCACTATCTCTTGGCCTCGCCGCATGATATTGATTGAATCAGTAGTATTAAGTATCTAGTATTWACTTCGCGTTTCTAATATTCAGAATTCTTTGTTATTTCTCAGGAACTCCGCAAAGAACTCGACGCGCACAGTGGACTAGTAACAGCCCTTTGTGAAGCGAGCCCTGTTCTCGTTCATTCCTGCAGTCCTAGCGACCGCGTTCTCGTTCAGAGTGAACTCAACCAAGTCACAGAGCAATGGGAGTCGATTTCCTTGTCCTGGAAGAAGAGGACGATAGATCTGGATGAAGTCCAAGTGACAGCCGAGCAATTCCATGCATCCTACGATGCCATGATTGARTGGCTYGATAAGATGGAACAGAGGTTGAGCAACCAACCACCAGTTGGCACCGAGTTGGATGTAGTGAAAGAACAGCTCAAGGTCCACAAGGTTAGTATGAGAACTGAGGCTGGTACGTCTGAATAGTTAGCTTGTGTTTTCAAGTGCACAAGTGAAATTTAGAAATAAGACTATGTACGGATAGTGAAACGTAAAGCCACCCTGAAAAAAATTCTCACGTTGATACTTTTAACCAAGTGAAATGAAACAAATCTCATGACTGTGAAAACTCACTTTTCTGACGTGCTTCACCGTGACCGTGACGGCGTGCGCGACGTGATTAGTTCAAGAAATGATAGCATTTCTGTACCGTGACCGTGGCGTGTGTCGCGACGACTCAGAGTCATACAWAATCTCCTAGGAATTTTGTATTTTTGGTACTTTTTTTCTGTATTCGAGTGTACGAAATTAGTGTATTAGAAAAGAGCGCAGAGCAGCCACTCACTTCTTGTTGCTTTCTTATTGTATTATTATTTATTTTCTTCTCGTTCTTTATTTAGGCGTTCCACAAAGAACTGATTCCACACCAGAAAGAAGTAACCGAGGTTAACCAACAGGGTAACGTGCTGACAGAAAGATGTCGACACGAAGATTCTGACCTAGTTGCAGCGCAGCTCGAGGAAGTCAACATGCGCTGGGACGATCTGTGTAATCAAACCAACGAAAGGCAACAGAAGCTTGAGGAAGCACTACTACAGCTGGGACAATTTCAACTGGCCTTGGAGGAACTCTTGGTGTGGCTGAAACAAACTGATAAGAATCTTGACGAACAGCTTGGTAAACCTATACAGGGAGATGTCAAGTACATCGAGATTGAGCTTGCTAAACATAAGGTAATTTAAGCAATGGTCAATGCTTAGCGTGCGTAAATCTATTGATGGTGTACGCGGATAGTTGGGAGAGCACGATGGTAGCGTAAGAGTTGCACGAGGCGGAGGCGCTGATGCTCATGCGCGATGTTGTAATTTGAATTCTTCTTGACTTCACAGTACCAATCCAAGAGTCTGTGTTTTACTAGAATATGCATAATTTTCCAGGAAAGTGAGAAGCTAACCGTGTATTTTCTTTTTTTCTTTCTCGGTTTAGATCTTACAAAACGACATCCTCTCACATGAGCCGTCCATAAMATCATTATCTCGGGCAGCGCAAAACCTACTCGAGTCTGGAGACGCCCAGATCGAACCAACAGAACTGGAAGGCAAAGTAAACAATCTGAAAGCCACATGGGAAGATGTGCTTGCTAAGTCTGCCAAACGACAGGCAGAACTAGAAGCCGCCCTGGAAGCATCGCATAGTTTCTTGAGTCAAATCAAGGAATTGCGTGGATGGTTGAATGAAGCAAGTGAATTTTTGAAGTCGAGGAAATCCATCGGTGGCAGACCGGAAAGCGCTGCCAAGCAGCTCAATAAACACAAGGTGTGTAGGGTCGATAGGATCGAGTATCTTATGACCACAAACAAAATGACGGAAAATAAAAAACAAGAGAGAAAACAGTGGGAAGAAAGAAACAAATTATTTGTGTGAAATGTTAACAASATGCTTTGCATTTGTTGTAAGCAAAATGGAAAGGATTTGATGTGTATACCGAGGCGAGGGTGAAAAATTTACAATCTCAAAAAGCATTGTTACGTAGAGAAATAATGACTATCATTGACAGGATAAGAAGTGTGATTGCGCATTTTTCCACTAAATGCAGTCGMCATACTTATTCATTACTAATCTCGTTTTGTAGGATTTCATGGCTGTTGTCGAGAGTCGCCAAGCAATCTACGACAAAATCGTCGAGACCGTCGAGCAGCTCGTGGAGAACGCAGACCCAACAACAGCTGCCAACTTACAACGACAGCTAGAAGAGCTGAAGGAATCCTGGAATCATGTCCAAACACAGGCCAACGAAGAGAACGAAAAGCTAAAAGATGCTCTTGAGAACGCTAAAGATTTGGACGAGAAGACGAGCGCCATTGACCTGTGGTTGACGCAAGTCGAAGAAACCATCTCGCTGTTTGAAGACCCGAGTACCATCTTGGAGACCTTACAGAAGCAACGCGTCAGTTACAAGGTTTGTTTGGCCCTCACCCCTCCCCCATCGTTAAATTATTATTAGATGTCTTAAGTTTTGCTGTTGCAGTATAGTGCTCATGYTCTTGATTCTGTTATTCTTTTCTTTAACGCACAGGAACTTAAAGAGGACATCGACGCTCATCGCGAACCATTCAGGAGCATGAAACTGCTGTCCCATAAGATCACAGACGTCTGTATCCAAGAAGACGCAATCTACATCGAAGCGGAAGTGACATCATTAGAAAAGCGCTGGAAGGAGGTCCTAACCACCTCTAGCAGCCGTAAGAAGTCTCTTGAGGAGAACTATAGACTCTCTCACAAGTTCTTCAATGGCGCAGCGGATCTGTTGAAGATGCTAGACGAAGCTGAGAACACTTTGAAATTGGAGGAACCAATAGGAGTAGACCCTGCCCATCTCAGGCAACAGTTGAAGAGCCATAAGGTGAGAATGCCTTAGACTTACTACTGAGCCTGCGTAACCCGACCGGTGGACGAACCCAATTTGTGGTCGTACTAAATAGGTTGATTTATTCTAATAGCATTGTTTCTATGCACAGGAGTTCCAGAGCATGCTCGGTGCWAACCAGACTGCCCTCGACTCGACCATCAAGGTGGGGAAACTGCTGATGGACAAGAGTAATGATGACGACGCGCTTACCATCGAAGCAAAGATCGCTGACCTGAAGGCACGCTGGGACGCAGTTTGTGGACTCTCAGTGGAGAGGTATGTACCGTCACTACTTAAGGYGTTTCCATGGCAATAGTTGTCAGACGGATTTAATTGTACATGGATTGTAATATATATAAGCCTTCACTTCTCTTTCGACTCGTTTGTTCTCTTTTCCGAAACTTTTGATTTGCGGTGTGTGGAACTATCATCCAAATGTCCTGAGTTTGACGCGTCGTATGTGTGCGTTGCCTTCTGTTCTTTGAGACATTGTTATGTAACTGTTTTGTTKTTAAACATCGTGTTTCTTTGTAGACAACAAAAGCTGGAAGAAGCATTGCTGTTCACTGGAATGTTCCAGGATGCTTTGCAGTCTCTCCTGGACTGGCTTACCGCGGTAGAACCAAGTCTATCTACCGAGACTGCCGTGATGGGTGACCCAGAGACTGTAAGAATATTGATTGACAATCACAAGGTGAGTCGTTAAATATCTTTAATGATATGATATCATAAAACGGTACCCATTTTCATACTAAAAACGGTCTCAGCTGGTGTGTTTTTTGATTGACGGAAGTCAAAAACTTGGACGTCTTGGGCTGTGTTCGTCGCGTAAATGTCAAAATGAATGTAAATTACTYGATCTCATGGGTTTTGTCTGATCAATTTTACAGACCTTCCAACGCGAGCTCGGTCGCCGCGAGGCAAACTACGAATCAGTCATGAAAGCTGGTCGAGCAATGATCGACGAAAATAAGGTCGAAGAACCACAGCAGCTCGAAGAGAAGCTCAACGACCTGCGCATGCGCTGGGATGCGGTCGTCGCCATGTCCAGCACAAAGGAAGATCGTTTGGATAATGCGCTTGTACTAGCCAAAGAATTTGATTCGTCCGTCAAGACAGAGCTACGCATCTTGAAGCAGTTTGAAGACAATCTGCGTGAATTGGGACCCATTTCCGAAGACTTGGAGGAGATACAAGAMCAACTAGAAAAACACAAGGTATACAGGAATAAATTGCCATAAAAAGAGCAAATTCTACAAATTAAAAGCGCTAAAAGAACAAACGCAAAAATCCGTTCAAATTTTCCAAGTTCCCAGTGGCCCATTTCTCTCGGACTTGCAAGGGCTCAAATTTTTCATTGGAGCCCATAGAAAACATTTTGGGTCAACAATTTAAACGGACCATTGGGAATCAGGATCCAGTGTGAGAAATTCTTGCCTACGGTAGTTCTTGGTATGCTTTTACTGCTTTTCAATGATTCCCAAGAGAATGAAAGAACACGGAAAAGACACGGAGGCCATGTTGGATGATGTAACAAATGAGTCTAATGACAAATGTTTTGTGAAATTCATCCAACATGGCGGCTGTGAAAACCATTAATTATGCACCGCGCGTGTAAGTTAGAATCGTGCGCCAGAATAAAGACATGTGCTCTAACAGTATCATAGGATGCAAAACTATCAAATGACAAAATGATCTGCCTGGGTTTTGATTGATCTTTGGTTTAGTAACGCTTGTCTTTTGTGTGTCATGTTCCAGACGTTCCACGACGAACTCAAAGCCGAAGAAATCAACGTCCAATCGGCCATCAGGAAAGGACAGGTTATCCTTCGCTTCTGCCATCCAAGCGCAACCCAGATCATCCAACAATGGCTTGCACGCCTCAATAAGAGATGGGACGAGGTGTGGAAATGGTCGACACAGCGAMTGAACCGCCTTGAAGAAGAACTAAAGAAACTGGGAGAAGAGAAATCGTTGATGGATGAACTGTTGAAGTGGATCGAAGAGAAATCAGACGAGCTGAATGAGAAGGAGAAAGAACCGATACCTGATGAAGATTACGATGAAATCCAGCTCTTACTCGACGAACACAAGGTGTGTTTTTATACCACTGTTCTCTATCCAAATAGCAAATRCGAGTCCGTTCGAACACTTTTTGGGGTGAGGGGAGGGGAAGACTAAGGGTGATGCAGAGGTAGTGCACTCACCTCTTACCGCTTTGAGGTCCTGCGTTCGATTCTTAGACTTGACTTTAGTAGAGTTTGTTAGATTTCTTTCTTGATTCAAGGGTTTTCCTCCGGGGTCTTTSGGTTCCCCCACCCTCCCCCCACAAAATCCAACACGCTAAATTCCAATTCAATCTGTGATTTAGCCGTGCCTGACTTTGGTCATACCAGAAGCTGTTTCAGTTCACTGAAGCACTGAGTTCAGGGTATCAMTAAAATTTGAAAAGGAAATCGAGAAAAGCTAATTCAAATGTTATCATTGCTTTAGGTGTTCCAAGAAGAAATGGCCAAGAAACAGCCAAATTACGACCGACTGACTAAAGCAGTCAAACGCCGTCAATCCACCACTCCAACTAAAACACCAGAGGTAAAACAAACTCCGCCACGCCGTGGAGTTAGGATCCCGAGACCAGCCGGGGTGACTCCGGTATCCCGTGAGAGATCCCGAGACAAGCTGAGCAGTCCTGCGAGTTCGTTTACGCGGGAGAAGGAACGTACGCCTTCGTTCACACGATCTGGTTCGAATAATCATCATCCAGCAGTGTCGCATCTGTCTAAGAAATGGCAGCATTTGTGGCTGTTGTCGATGGAGAGACTACGAAGGCTACAGGAAAAACTCGAACGCATTGCTATCGTAAGTAGATCGTAACTGGATTSAATAAATTTAGAACTGAGTAGCCTGTGTACAGTTAGTTATTCCCAACTCCCCCACCATACGTTTAGATGGCAGCTAATCTGCTAAATTATACGTCTTGATCAGTAATTTACGTYAATTGAAGCGATAGTAATTGTTACRTTGTGGGCAACATTACTCAGGAGTTAGAATCTTTGGAGTTTCAGAATGTAAGTTTTATTTCTTGTTTGTATTCTAGAAACGCGCCTCTGAAAAATTCGACTTTGTTGAATGGAAGAAAAGGGTAAGTTTTGAATTACTTAGATTTTCCTTTTTCTTTTCTTTTTCTTTCTTTCCATTTATCCAGTGATTTCGAATTGAGTGCCAGCCGACTAGAATTTTTACCACTACACACTGTAACTGTCTTAAAGCATCTAAACCTAGTCTCCTTGAACGTGCATCCCTCCCTGTAAACTAACGACCCTATGAAAATCGTCACACTAACATTTTCTCGCGGCTTCCTTGTATGACGTCATTGTCGTTATATTTTATGACATTTCTCCCTGTAAAACGAGGAACCAATGAAACTCGTTCCCACACAATTTTACACGGCTTCCTTGTATGACGTCACCTGTTGTGTTCACTTCCAGTTCAAAGGGTGGCTGCATGACAGCAAGTCACGTGTTCTCGATATCTTCCGTCGCATGGACCACGATCGTGATGGCAAACTGACTCGCGAACAGTTCATCTCAGGCATATTAAACACAAGTAAGCTGAGTAGAATACGAGTACACATTGTTTATCCTCTTATATTACTTGTACCGTAAGATTTCAGGGCATTGCGAGGGCAGAACAAGCATCGTAAGTCATATTAATATGCAGTATTCACATGGAGTACGAAACGTACGGAATTCCACAGCGGAAGTTTTACGGAATTTTCGCAGCGACAGTTGACACTCTCCAAATTTACGCTCTGGACTCTGGAATGAAGCGTTTGGTAGTCCTTCTAAATTGTCTATTAACGTTACGAGTTTCGCTTGTCCCCAGTCTCACTTGGGCCCAGTTTCACTTGCGCTCTTCTGCCATTAAACGGTTCATTTCTTTCTTGTTGCTGTTTTTCGTGATAATAACAAAAAATTGTTAGTTCATACAACTTAAAAATCTCCGGAATTACATTTTGCGTGGGTATTAAAGACCGTTAAGTTTACATTAAGGCAAATTAGCGAGATCATTACCGAAACGGCCCGCCTTTTTTTCCCGCGCTACAAAATACTAAAAGCATGTGTGTACCAAGCAAAACAACATCCTTGCTATCTTATTGYCCCGTTATTTCCTTCCGATAGCAATTTTATTTATTTGGAAATTATACTTTTCTAACAGGCTTTCCAACTGAGCGTTGGGAGATGGAAATTGTCGCAAGTATGTTCGTCCGTGACGGTCTCATTGACTACAAGGAGTTCGTTAATGCACTTAAAGATAAACCAGTAAGTACTCCGTCCATCTAATGTTGTTGTTTCTCTCAAGAGATTTTTGCTCCATTCTGTCTGTTTAATGGAATTAGTTCCGTTCTTTCATAACATTTTTCTTCACTGTTTTGCAACAGGCAACAAAGAAACCAGAAAAACCCAAGAGCGAAGGACACCTAATCATGTCGGAGATCGACAACCTGGTCAAACAGTGTTGCTGCGCAAGACAATTTCAATATGTCAAAGTGGCAGATAACAAGTACAGGGTGAGTCATCGTTGTTTTGTGTRTCTTTGCCTTCGTACATGGTACCTAGAGYAAATTGTGCCGGGACCGTGACAGCACCATGTCTGAACACCTTGTCTGCATTAAAGAAACTGATTGATCTGAGTTAAAGAGTTGGCATTACTTCCATTCCTGTGCAACTGGAAATATTTACACTGGTTCTCAGTAATCATATGCAGACCTGTTTCATTTACAAAGCAAGCGCAAAATTAACCACAAATACCAAAATTGTTTGATTCTTGKGTTCACTGGCGTTTGTAATTGCACAACTAAGAACCATGATATTGAATAGTAAATACTAAACACTTCTGCTTTGATTTAGTTTGGTGATTCTCAGAAGCTTCGTTTACTGCGCATCCTACGAAGCACTGTCATGGTTCGTGTTGGTGGTGGCTGGGAGACTCTAGCAACGTTCTTACTCAAGAATGATCCTTGTAGAGGTTAGTACATCTCTATTTTTCAGGGTACGTTGGATACGCTTGAGGTGCTTACCATTTAAACCAGTCCATCCGGTTGAAAATATATTCACTAATGATAAGAAAAGAGCAGGAAATGGATTACCTCAATTGGAAGASCGGAACTTCCTGATTGGAGTGATGYATACCATTTGTTTTCTGAATGGAATTTCCGGGGTTTTTTCTGGGTTAATGGTAAGGCACCCTTGATCATTGCCCAAAACCAATCCTTATRTCATTAGAATACTGTCTGCTTGAAATCTTTTCCCTTCTGGGGGAGGGGAAATAAGACTCATAGTAGGTATGTGAATTGAAGTTATCTTTTTCTCATTCACAACAGCTGAAGGCAAGACAAACATAGAGCTCCGTGAACAGCTACTRGGATCCAGCACCAAAGAAAGTATGGAAGCCTTCAAGGCTAAGAGACCTGGCTTATCACGTGAAGGCTCTGACGTAGGAGCTAGACCATCGATTTCAAGAGAAGGATCATCTGGGTCAATGCGTTCGGCAGCAGCCAAACCACCTAGTGGAACAAAACCTAAGAAACAAACAGGATCGCAATTGGGTGTATCTGGTGTTCGCAGAGAAAAATCTGGCGAACTTYGTTCACCTGGAGGTTTGGTAAAGTCTAGAAGTGGTACCAGTTTGAAGTCTACCAAACCTTCCACAGGAGTCAGGAAAGCTGGCAGCTCCACCAACTTGAAAGATCCCAAAACAGGTCTACCAAAACGAACAGATAGTCAGACATCTATTGGTAGTACCGGCTCTCAAGAAGGCTCAGAGGCAACACACTCATTTATCAAATCTCCCACCAGCTCACCTGGATCATCCCGTATACCTGTAAGGGGGAAAACAGGTACCCCAGAAACAAAAACAGGGCTTAGTAAAACTGGTGTTAAAGGGAGCAAAGAAAGTCTAGCGACAAGGTCAACAGCATCTGGTGTGAGGGGAAGCAGAGAGAACCTAGCTACCAAGAAGACCCCCGCTACGGGTACCACCAAGAAGACAACAACAACAACGGCCAAGAAACCACCATCTGGTCAAACAAAACCTAAAAAGTAAAAATACGAAGTCCCCTTTAAAGGGAGAACATGTCTAGTTGAAAATAACAAGAAAGAGTAGGATTAACAACTGTCTACAATCCAATGGACCACCAACAAACAAAAGTAAAGGAACTTGTACCTCAACTAGACAACACTACAGCATAAGTACAAGCCTTATCAACAACTGGTCCATCCAGACTCATGAATGTTAACAAGTTTAGTTTAGTTTTAGTTTAGTAGTTTTTTCCATTGGAATTTAGTATTCGTACGTGTAAAAGTTAGATGTCTATACAAACGTAATTCATCAGTTATTTTCATTTTTCCTAACGTAGATACATACGATCAAATTTAGACAAGGCCCATACAAACACCAATTAGAAACAGTGTTTTCTGAACAAGTTATCTTTGAAGCTAGTGTYATAGTTATATCATAAATTTTCTGAGAGAGTAAGCTTAGTTTAAATAATCCACGGATGTAAAATGGGTTGTTAATTGTGTTTTGGTGGAATGGGGAACCATCACTACACATACTAAACAATGCCAAGAAGWCGATCAAAACACTAACTTCAAGAACAATGAACACCTTAAAACGTGAAAAAAATGCAAGAATAAATGAATAAAACAAATAATGGATTTAAAGTTTAGAAATGCAGCTAAATCTATGAAGACAACCAAAATAAGCACTTGAAAACGAAGCAKATTATAACATTGGTCAAAAATATCTCATCTTCTCTCCTAATACATATTGGGGAATGATATTGGGAGAGAGGTAACATCATCTTCACACTTCAAGAATCAAGAAAGAACACAAAAGAACATTTTGCTTTTTGAGTAATTCTGGGGAAAATTACTCATTTAGTGAAAGTAAATAGGAAAATTCTCAACATCTAACTAAAAAAGAATCAACAATCTGGCCCGTTGGTTCTTATGCAAATTAAGTCTTCAATTGATTTGTTAACTGGAGTAATATCAAATGTTAGTACCTATGAACTATAATTTCTCAATTGAAATTAGTTTAAGTTAGTTATGAAATCATGCCATTTTTTCAAACGTGACTTTTTTGGTTGTCACGCATTCTAGCAACAGTTTGTAGCGTGACAATAATTGTATTGTGACGAGTAGTTTAGAGTCAACAAAACGTTAAATGAAAGGTTAAAATGTCAATTCTGTAGTTATAGGTGAATATTTTATAAAAGAAAGAGACCATAAACAATTTCTAAGGAGTTTTTGTCTGCACTATTTAAGAAATAAGTTAAATTCTTGCATAAGTGTATTTTGTGATAATATTAAATAAAACGTTTCAGTTTGTTATAATTTGCAKCCAAAGTAACCAAAGACCATTTGATAATATTTTCAAGTTTTGCAATCTGCTTTTTTGAGGCTAGCTTAAAGTTACTTAAAATTTCTGTAATTGTAACTGTCTTAAAATATTTGGTACAAAAGAAAAATAAACTAGTTTTGATATCTATTAAATTAATTTGTTGTGCAGTTGTTTTTGTCTTTAAATTTGTTTCCTATGTCTAATCTTTTAGGCAAGTAAAAATGAAAACCTCAGGATTGAGGTTGTAATCAGAACAGACCACACCTTTCTGCCAATCAAAGCCTGGAGTATGTGGCATATGAAGAGTGACTGCTGTTTCTGATCTATAGTCAAGATTGGTCACTAAGGCTAAAGGCATATCTGATAGAGTGAAGGCATTTAACCCATGAAATAAAAAATATTAGTCAACGTGTAAAAGTCAAATAGACATGAAATAATGGAATTTCGGTCTACTAATGTGTATTAGGCTAATATCTATTTCACAGGTTTAGTGATTTCGCTGTGTCAGTTTTCTCATCTATGATCTCTGATAGTGAAAACATGACTTAGCATTGAAAGAATGTTCTTAATTCTGATACATTTAACACATCTGGTACACTTATAACATGATCTTCATGTCAAAGACTGTACAAAATTTGATTAGAACAGCAAAATGATAGGTTGTTTTTGTACACCACATGTTTGGTGGTTCACATAATGTCATTGATTTTGTAACATGACAGATGACATTCTCTACTTATTGCAAACACCAAGAAAATGAGTGATTCTTGAGCACACCAGCAAGCAGCCCACAAATTTATGTTCTGTCCAAAACACACAGTGTTACTCCAGCCATTACAAGTGCCATTCCTGCATAGGTTTCTGTAAAAGAAAGAAAATTGTTACATTCAGGAATGGCAAGGTAAGAATCAAAAACATTTACTCCAACAAAGAAAAGTTATAGATTTTACAAACCAAAAGTAATAAGAAATCATACCTTTAGAAGCACTCTCCTCTCCAAGTAATCTTCCAGTGAGRATCGTAAAGAGAAATGTCAAGGAATTTGTTATTGGAACAGCAAGAGAAAGGTCTATAAAAGGAAAAGAATGGAGGCTTCAATACTTAATACCTGAAYTTTGTACCTATCCATCTCATCCATTCTTTCATTCTCCTATTMACCTGTCCTATATGTGTCTTGTCCTCTTTCTGTTTACTTCCCTGTTTAATTCTAACCCGTTCTCTCATCTCATCCCATTTTCTCATATGATTTTCTTATCCCATCCCATCTGAACYTTTTCCCTGTTCACTACCCCTACCCTGATCCTTTTCTGTGGAGCAACACTTACCTGCAGATGCTAATGTTAAATAGAATATTACAGACCCACTTTGATTCAACAAGAATGGAACCATGTACTAGAATGTCAAAACACAAAATTACAAACACTGAATCAATAAGAAAAATATATTAAATTAATAACAATAATACCAAATATTGAAGAGTGAACTACTGCATGCAGCGATTCATGTAAGGTGGCAAAGTGGATTCAAGAAGTAGGCTGGRTCAGTGTTTGGTCTAACTACTTGAACAGTGAGCTGAGGTTCTCATTGGTCAAATTCAAGGGGTTAAAAGCCCCTCAGCTAACGTTGCCTATAGGTCAATGTTTGTTTACATTTAACAGCTCATGCACAGTTTGCTGGGTGGCAAAAACCAAATGCACAAGGCAGATGCCAGTGAAGACCTCAGCATTTGTAAGAAACACAGCATATATCGAAGTAAGGTTCTATTATGAAAACAATCTACCTTCCAGTTGAAAACCAGGAACTTTATTTCAGCTACAAACTGCATCAAAGCATTACTTCGCCTGACTTGTTCTATTCCTGTACTTCCCTTCTTGATAAGAGGGTTGGTAGAGCCCCACATAATAGCAACTATAATAAGCCAAAATGCATCGCCTAGAAGACAGGAGAAGCCACAGTTGTAGACTTTCATTTGAGCTGTTTCATTTTAGTGTGTGTCAAGCTTATTTTTTATTCTATTTTGTTTTATAGAGTTAGTGCAAACACTAGTTATATCTGTGAAACAGTGATATGTAATTATGTCTAATTAGCACTAAGTTGTACTAACTAACACTGATGAAACAATAGAAAACAAGACATTGCACAAATATTTGTAGCGTTATATTGCACTCTAAGTGTGAGCAATCTACAATGATCATGCATATGTATTTACATATACCTACCCAATGTTTCGCCCATAGTGTAAGAACACTTTCAAACTTCAATACATAAATTTCAAGTTTAATAGATATAGAAATATTCACTACAATAATACTTTCTCACTTTTTGCTACTTCGTCCGCCATTTTGAAAACATAGGTACGCCAGCAATGCTTCCTARTCAGCGGATATCAGTAGTTGCCATAGAAACAACATTTCAAAATGGCTGCTTCCCTTGAAGGTTCTCAGATTCAGAGTTTRTTTAGAGAAAAAGATGGAGAAAAAAGAAAGATTCTGTTGGCTAAATTCCTTGAATTTCCTGAATTTGATGAAGACGACGACCTAAGGAGTGGAATACTTCTGGATGTATATCATGAATGCTTGTGTTTTGTAGTCGAACAAGGTCTTGCTTGGAATCAAGTGGCTGTTTTCTTCAAAATAGTTCAAAATTTGCTCCATAATATTGCAGGTAGTGCACGTTTAAAGGTTTCTTCAGTTTGTAAATTAAGAATCTTCTTTAACTAGCTGTGCGTTTGTTTTCGTAGAGAAAAGTCTTCCTGAAGTCATCCATCTCTTCAAGCATGAACTCCAAGGATGTTCTGAAAGTTTTAGTGAAGCTTCTCTCRAATCACTCATTGACTACGTCTTTACGACATTTTTACAGCATTTTAAACTATATCGTTACGTCCTGACTCAAGATCGTGTTGAAGACAGAACAAATTATACCTTGACTGTCGAACCTCCTTTAACTTTACAATGCTTTTCTGATAGTATCCCAAAAGCTGAATGGGATGAAAAAGAAAGACTGAAAGAAATAGATAGAATGGAAGAAAGGCAGAGAATGGTAAATAATGATTAAGCATGCTAATTTATTCCATAAATTAATACTCATGTTATTCTTCGTTTGCACGTAACATGTCATCGTGGCCTATCAGAGTCAATGTTGGTGCCATTTAACAAAAGATTTCTTATTAGCATCCATTGTTAACGCCACCACAATGGCCGCCGTGCTTTTGTCTTTAACTCTCTTGGGAATGCATATTCATTMTTACTTTTTTACCCTTTTCCCATCTTTGGCTATTTTTCTGCCACCCATCCCCTCTTATATAAATATTCAAAAAGTTTTTATCTAAACTTTGAGGATCACTTTCAATACAAATAATATTAGCTATCCTGTACCTTGAGGACAAATAGCAAAGGCCATCAAAATTTCAAAGTTTGCATTTTTTTGCAGGACCGTCAAGCTCATTATAAAAAACTGCTAGAGGAAGCTTCCAAATACCTTGAAATCCCAATTGAAAAACTTCCAGCTGGTGAAAAAGCAATTAATAGAGAAACCTTGACACAGCTCATCAAGGAAGTGGCTTCGGCCAGAGCAGCAGTAACAGAGACAATTGTACAAGAAACACTTGAAGCCATGAAGGACAAACTAGAATATCAACATATGAGATCAACAACGACTACAGAATCTGAACATCCACCTGAGAAATCTACTAGGAAGAAATCTGGTGCATCCAGTGCCAAAGCAAAAAAGAAATGATGAAAAGTCTCCTTTGCAGCAGTCATTCTTAGTTTGGTTCCAAACTCCCTCCCAACACTAAAAACAAATTCTATTAACAAATTTTTATTCCTCTGTTCTTCATGTATCAATAATTATTTGTACAATATTTAAGATATTTATTCATTATAGCTGTAGATAAAGAGACTGTTGTTTCCAATTATATTTGATGATAATTTATCACAAAGTGTTTCAATGTTTTACAAATGAAAATAAAGTTCTTACAAGGCCTTTTTTAAATGCTTACTTGATAGTTTACAAAATGTAAAGTTTTCAATTTGATAAATCAAAAACGAAATAAAGTTTGCAAAAATCTTTTTTTTGTGACTGATATTTCACTTCTCTTTATAAAAAAATGAAGATATAAAATGAAGTGAAAATAGTGAATGAATAAAACAATCTTTTCCATCTCGTCTCTCCTCTTTTCTCTCCATTCCTCTCCTCCCCCTCCCCTMCCCTACTTCCCCTTTACCCTCCCCTCCCCACACTTTTTTAAAGGGAAGCATTGTTCCATATGACAACAAACATGGCGTCTTCTTTTATGTAGATAACGTTCAGGTCAAGCATTCTCRGCATTTTGACCAATATCCGGTCATCTTACTTATCCCGAAGAATTCTCTAGATAAGGTAGGATAGTAAAGAATGGTCTCTTTTTGCACTCCTACGTCGAACGTAAAAACGATGACAATATTTCATTGGTGAGTGCATCGACCGTGAAGATATCGTGAAGCAGTAGAAGAAATCGTGTAAATCACGATACTGTCTTCCCACGATGTCCACTGAAGATGCTTGGTTCATAGCCGAGAGACTGCGAGAAATACTTCAGTCTCGACACTTCAACAAGGACGATTTTGAAGGTCGTCCATTAAAACTGTCCCAAGCTTTCTGTCTTCTGTGGCAGAATAAAGAAAATGGTGAAGTTTCTGGTCGACAGAGATCAGGGCGAATTGCAAATGCTGCTGTTCTTGCTGTGTTATTAGATCTGTTTGCGTTGGGAAAAATTGAGTTTGAAGCTCAAGTAAAACAGTGGATTGCCTTGGGAAGAAGGAGAGAGATAACATACGTGAAGGTCAGAAAAAAAGCTTAATTATTTGTTCACAAATATTTTCCAATATCACAAAACGTAGTACCTACCCTACAAGTACCTACTCTAAAAGTGTACTGTCTTAAAGCAATTTTTATGAAGTGTTATTGAAATAATTAGTAATTTTTTGCTTAATTTTTATATCCTACCAGAACTGTTTTTTAGTTTCCTTAAAAGTTTTAAAAGTTTTTACTATCCTAGCCACATTTTACACTTCGAATTAGAAAAAGATTAATTATATTTACATAACTTTATCCATGACAATTGTCTAAGTTCCTAAGCTGTCATGGAAGGGTTAAGCACAACAGGGCTTGGCTCCAAATTAAGTGCACCCTAACAAAAATTTAAATTATAACAACAAAAATGAAATCTTTTGATATTCCTTGATATCATTCCTTGTTATTTGATATAATCTCTTTTGCTTTTCAACGAGGATTCATTTTTAGATCAATAATAAATCATTATCATTATTACCTTGCAACTGAAAATCATGCTTCACTAAATAATGTATTATTTTGATTTACAACCTCTAGTAATCATTCAATAAATTCAGCTTTATCATCCATGCTTTATTGCTTCAGTCTTTAAAACAGACAGGTCATTTCATCTATTTTTGACACTTAAATGCTTTTCAACTTCAAATGAAAATTAATGATGAAAAGGTAAATTATACACCGTGAAAAGATGAAAAAACTTACTGACGTTTTGGACGCTAGTCCTTCGTTGGAGTAAAAGAGAAAGAAGTGATAGTTTATAAAAAGATATAACTAGCTAAAAACTAGTGTGAGCTGCGTCGGTGTTTCTAATGAAACAGTAATGATGAAAAGGTAAATCATACACTATGAAAAGATGAAAAAACTGACGTTTCGGACGCTAGTCCTTCGTCGGAGTAAAAGAAGGACTAGTGTCCGAAACGTAAGTAAGTTTTTTCATCTTTTCACAGTGTATAATTTACCTTTTCATCATTACTGTTTCATTAGAAACACCGACGCAGCTCACACTAGTTTTTAGCTAGTTATATCTTCAAATGAAAATTATGTTATACAATTGTAATGATTCTAGAATAATATAATTGCATGTGYTGATTGGTTGGCAACCATGCTTATGTCAGAAGACAGATTCACCCTTGCACGAAATTATTTATGTTTAAAAATATTTTATAAAAGCAATATGAAATGGTTACTTATTTCTATTGTCTTATTTCTATTTGTGGTATAAACACTGTGGGAGCTGTAGAACACTCAAAAAGCAAGCGAAACACTTCCTCATGTTTCTAAGCTTGTTTATTTTGCCCACTGCACTCATAAAGCATGTGCTCTTACCCAATCAAATTGCGAGATTTAGAGCATTTATCTTATAAACTGGTATATTTGAACTTTGTATCATAATCTTCCATTTGATGCAAAAAGAAAAATTCTGTAAGAGGGAATTTGTAAAGATCAATTTAATTTGTTTTTAATTTTACTTTATTTCATTTCATTTTATTTTATTTCACTTTATTTTTTATTTTATTTTA